AGAAATCATGTTTAGTGAACTATACCAAATTCGAAATACAACACCAGGTTGAATTTGAAGATATTACAACCAAAAACTCATTTTGAAATAAGTGAATAAGTTGTTAAACTATATTGCAATAATATACTATCACATAAAAGGCAAATGATAGATCTCAACTCATTCTTTGTTTTTTCCTAACCAAAAACGTATGCAAAATAGTTTTGAGTACACAGATGAAATTTGCATACCTTTTTAGATCTCTTATATGAAAAGATGAAATTTTCTCGTAAATGGTTGAAAACAATGTTTCCTTTAACATCATGACATGATAAATTATCGACATATTCATTTTTATCATTCTTATTTCCCACCCCAATATAAATCTAAGTTGACAAATTTATAAACAAAATTTTCCAGTTTTATATCACTTCAGAACAATCATAAACTGATCTTTTATTATTTCGACTTATTGTCATTCACGTAATTTCTTATGAAATCTTAATTTTAGTTCTCGATCTGTATACTCCATGAAAGGAGAATATATATCGCCAACATAAAAATAAATATGTCTAAGAGATAACTTTAAAATACATTTCACTGCATTAAGGTTCATAAAAGTATTAATGGACATTATAGTTGGCACTCATTATAGGTGAAGTTGGTGGCTTACGCGTCTTTAATGTACTTATTTGTGTCTTTAACAAACTTATTTGTATCCAGCTACAATTACTACATGATAACTTTATTTATACATTATGCTCTCACTTAACCACATTCTTTTTTTTTTGTTCATTCTACAAGAAAACAACCAGGAAAGGGGCTAAGATCCTCGTTGACAACAAAAATCTGTACGAAGATACTAAATTGGATTCCTTTCCTATATGGAAATTAATGAATTAAGAAAGTAGTAGCACTCCTTCCTACTGTTTTGCAAAAATCGAATCTCATTTTCAAGAGAAAACTGCAGCCCCAGACCAAAAATGGGCATCTCAATCTTAACCAGCCTTGTCTACCATAAAAGATCGATTAATCCTTACTCGACAATTCAAAGCCGATTGGTACAACCTGCATTCTTGCCTACTCATTCTCCGATCTATTTGAACCCAACTACCGTCTCTTTTCTTAAAAAAGAAAAAAATTGTGTTGCATCACCAGACCGAGGATTTTACATGGAGAGATTTAGATTGTGCCAAGTTCAAGAAACTAAATTGGCCATTTTTCCTAATAATAAAAACTCTTGCTGGACATCGAAACATAGTTGTCTTCGTTCAAATTTTGTATAGCCGGTCGTTATTGATTATCGACAAACTCTATTTTTTTTTATATTTCATTTTATTTATACTTATCCTGATATGTTTTTTTACACTCATTAATTTATGCTTATGATATTAATTTTTTTTTTTTGTGTACATTTTTTAAACTTTATTTTTTATGTTTATGCAAAGTTATTTTCTCCGATTTTATTGAACATATACACATATAGTACGTATATTTATTGTGTAGAAAATAATTATTGTACTCAATTTCAAAAATTCATATTTTGATATTCAATATTAAATTCTATAACTTATATAAACTTACATACCATCTTTTTTTTTTTTTTTACATAGATATGAAATTTCTCACTTATCAAATGAATAAATTCATTATACAAGTTCAAAAGTTATAATTGTTTTCATGTGCAAGCATAATTTTTTTTTTTTGAATATGTTAACAAATTTTTGAATTTTCTCCTTGGACATATATCACAACTGTATAATCTATGCAACTTAAATGTTTCTTTTTATCACGAAAAGCATTTTTATATATATCTTGAATAATTCATTTAATAGAACAAATGACTTGTTATGTCATGAATAATTCATTCATTATAGATTTTTGAGTTATGTGATAATGACAAATAATTAAATTCATGTCAACATATTGCTAATATTTTTTTAAGAACCTACTTTTCTATTACTAAGTGTATGAATATTAGTGAAAAATTATTTGCAAATTCAATGTAATTACTATTTATGTCCGCGTTTTACCTAGTTAATTAATTCATATAAAGTAAAAGAAAACACATTAAACCACATTCCATTTTATTCATGGGCCTTACAGTGGGGCCTCAGTTTCATTTGAAAATATACGGCCCATCGAATAAAAGCCTTTTGGGCTTTCACATCTGAAAACCCTAGTTATTAGCCCTAACTTTTTTCGTATATAGCTCTACCACTCTCCATTAACAAGCCTCTCTAGCAAGGAGTTAGCGGCTCAGCAGAAACCCTAGTTCGAGTGAGTATTCTCTCTTCCAGTTTGTCTTCTTCATTCATCTATGTAAATTTTGCATCTAATGTATTACGTCTATTTCGCAGAAGGTAAGACAAGGTAGAACAACAACAATGGCCGTGCCTCTGCTTAACAAGAAGGTCGTGAAGAAGAGAGTGAAGAGGTTCATTAGACCTCAGAGTGACCGAAGAATCACTGTCAAGGTATACTCTTTTGCTTGAAATTTATTGGTTGAAACGTTGAATCTACATGAGTTTATTATTCGGCTCTTGCGGCTACCCAAATCCCTCTTTGTTGAATCTATATAGAATAATTGTGATGTGTTTGGTGTGATTTTTCCTTTTTGCTTCCCGATTTAACTATATTCTGTTTTTGCGTTTGATTATCTTCGATAAAGTGATATAATTTATGCGGAACTGTCTAGAAGGAGAAAATTAACCCTTGTAAGAATTTGTGTGTGTCCGAGTGTGTTGATTCCGTAAATGCGTTTACTTATTCTCTCTTGCATTCCATATGACTACATTTGATGGCTAAATTGCATATGGTTTTGTGTTTTGTAAGTGTTCTGCAAACACCTTTTATATGGTTTTTATCATTCTGTTGTTATTATCTTGTAGCATCATTCAGCCAAGTAAGACCTTTTAGTATTCAGCAACTGTTTGTTAATATATGTATGTCTTAGGGTGTTTGTACTGTGAAGTGATGGCTGTATAGTGGGTTGTTGTGGGGCTTGTCGAAGTTGTACTTGTTCTTGAATGCCACTGTCAATGGAGAATTATACCTACTCCACACTCTCATTTGAGGAAGAACTGTGATTCATCTACTAATTGGTTCAATATTATTTTTGGCTTTCTATTCTCTAGAAAAAAAGAAATGAATAACTGTATTGTTTTCCTATAGTTGGCTTACGGAATCATGTGAATTCATGTGGAGTTTCTTGTAGTCTTTTAGTTCTTCCAGTTGTATTTGGACTGGGCAAGCTTACTAATTGGACCTGAACATTCAACTTTTTATAATAGGAAAGCTGGCGCAGACCCAAGGGTATTGATTCTAGAGTGAGGAGAAAGTTCAAGGGATGTGTCTTGATGCCCAATATTGGATACGGGTCAGACAAGAAGACTCGCCACTATCTTCCCAATGGCTTCAAGAAGTTCGTCGTGCATAATGCTAGCGAGCTTGAGATCCTAATGATGCACAACAGGTAATTTGATAAGCTCACTTAATCGTCACCTGATTTGTACTATAACTATGAGTTCTTAATTTATGAATGTCTTGTCATCCAACATGTTTTTCTTTCCTTGCCAGAACTTACTGTGCAGAAATCGCACACAATGTTTCCACTAGGAAGAGGAAAGAGATTGTCGAGCGAGCTGCCCAACTTGATGTTGTCATAACAAACAAGCTTGCTAGGTTGCACAGCCAGGAGGATGAATGAGCATTTTGGCTTTAGATGAGATCTCTATATTGTTTTAGTGTTTGAACCTGTTCCTTGTGTTTTGTTTAATTAATACTCTGTTTTCCCGAAGTGGATTTTGACACATCCTATTGCTATCAAATGCTTAAATTTTCAGATTTTAGTACACCTTTGTGGTGATAAAGTAGCTGTGGTCATGTTAATTCTGTCAAATCTGCGTAATTTACTCTGGATGATGAGGTTGAATGTTGACGCAGCTCTTTGTTGCACAATCAAAAGAAGAAAGTATATTTCTAAATTGCTTAAGTTGCTTGGGAATTGCTTACGATATTATAAGTACCACAATGACTTGCAATAGATGTCAATGCAACAAACCTTGACAAACTATAAAACTTGGAATATTTTCTCTGAACTTACTGTTGTGTGGGTTTTTTTTGGTATCAAGAGATCATATATTGTTTCGTATTTGTATACTGGATTTTGTTTCTTTATCATATTTGTTTGGTGCAAATTTGCATCTTCTATTCAACTGTCAAAGTAAGAAACTATTAGCTTCCAATCTACCTGTTTTGTAGCAATGTTGATATTGTATTGATAGATGGCAGCACTTGTGCTATTCTGTGTAGTTGAATAGACGAATAAATCATTGGTTTCTAACACTTCAACACAGCAAATTCGAACTATCTGATGGTAGTCTGCAGTCGAGTATATTTTCTGTGCATCTTGTAATTTCCTCAGTGAACTACTTGATACTTTCTTTCATTGTTCAGGACGTTCTATTTCTAAAAAGCTTCAGTAACTGTTTTCTTGAAACAACTACCATGCATATTGACCTCTCAGCCAAGTGATTCATGGGAATGAAGTAGTCTCAACTCCCACATGGATGGTTCTAGCAGACGTTTTATATGATACCAAAAGGAAATAAAAGAAACGGCAATGAAGAAAGTTTAGTATTGACAGGGAGTATCGTACTTCTTTCACTACATGAAAGCAAACCTATTTGTGTGCAAGGATGATAACATCTACACAAGCAAAAGAAAATAGGTTATGGTCATTCTAAGCTACAGTAAAACCTCTATAAATTAATAATCTTTCTAAGATAATATTTTTCTCTGATCCCGACTTAATCATCAATTTCAACAAGATAATATATTTTTAGAATATATGGTTACTTTAATATCATAAATTAATAATTCTCTAAAAATACAAATATATATGATTCTATTGTGTTCGATATCATAAATATATATATATATATATATATATATATATGATTCTATTGTGCTCAGTCTTTTTAAAAAAAAATTAAATCTAATTGAAGCAAGTCTCTAACTTTTCTTACTGCATCCAAAAATTTCGATGTTATCTTTTCGAACTAAGAGTTTTTTACTGTACTTGCTAGCAACTGTCTAGGTACATTTGAAGAAGAGGCCAAACTGCATAACATTAATTGGAAGCACTGTAGGCTTACAGAATGGACGATCTCCTATGCTTTCAGGGTGGTAGCAAAAATTCGAAAGTTCCTACTTCCCCAGACATCATTGTCATCGATATGGTAAGACATTAAGCAACACCTTATCCAGGGTGGATTTCTAAAATGATCATTCATTTCACTATCATCATCGCCTTCAGAAGTTCCAAGCAACAAATTCCTCTTTTTTGTTAATGTATAAACAGAGGGGTAGCCGTCAAAAAACTTTTCCTGCGAGTATAGTAGTATCACGTCAAAACCAAGATTCATAAGTTAGTAGCTCAAACAATTCAAGCATGTATAGCAAATTTTATGCAATAAATATAAACCAACAGATATTTTAATATCGTCTTTATGTAAGCACATAGAGGCCTGCCATTCATAATCTTCAAGGGCCACAATCTCATCATTTCCCAAATCAATTGGTGGATGATTTGGCAAGTAAATAGTTGTTTGTACAATATCAACAACTATGACACAGGAATCTTCATTTTGCTTCAAGATAACAAAGCCGAACAGTTGAGTATGAGCATAGGTATGTCATATACATCCTCACAAATACATAAAATACTGATATCCAAGTCCAGGGAACATATTTATACTGAGCTATGTCATTAAACACAGTCCCTAAATGGCTATTAATGTGCTGCAGTATACTCGATAAAGATTGATAAAAGACTGCAAGTACACAAACAATTATTACCGCATCCTCTTTATACAGATATGCATGGATTCTTGTAGTTGGATCCTCTAGGGTCAACCTGATCCTATAAACCCCAGAAGGGGAACGGAAATGTTCAGCTAGCCAAGGAAATGCCGCTACCACTCGAACTACACAGTGGAATTTACCTATGACCTGCAAGCAATAAGCCCAATGACGTACAACAACAAACAACAACATATCCAGTGTAATCCCACAAGTTGGGTTTAGGAGGGTGATGTGTAATGCAGCCCCCTACCTTGTGAAGGTAGAGGTTGTTTCTAATAGACTCTCAGCTCAAGTAAAACATATCAAAATCAGTAAGAAAAGGAAATACAACAGTTAAAAAGCCATATAATAAGCTCAATGATGTTAAGTGATAAAAAGTGTGAAGTCATATATCACATATATGTAGCACAAAAGAAAAAGAATGTTATTAGAATCATCCTAACTCAATAGCTTCTGTGATGAAACTGAAAAAGAAACTTGCACTACATCAAGCATCAATTTTCCCCACATATTATTCCCGTGCGCTCCTTTTCCACTATCACTAGTGGAATACAGATACAGTATAATCAGCAGGAGAAATGAAACTTATTATTCTTATTTAAGACCTAAGAAAAGAAATTTCCATAAGAAGCAACTTTACAAAGAGAAGTCATTCAGATCAATGGAATAATCAGGAAGGAATAACTTAAAACTGACTGCGAACATTTTCTCTAGTCTTTAACGCTGCCAAGTATCCAGAAGATTCACCCAGTTGATATAAACTGTCAACTGGTACTTTAAAGAGATCAAAGCATATCATGCATTGCCATTTTAATAGGATTTTTAGCCATTTCAGCATCAATTATAAAGCAAAGGAAATGTTAAATGTTTGAGTGTGAAGATGTAAGGTAGTTTGCAACATCGAGGAAAAAAAATGGTTCAAAGAAAAACTACTCCCGCTATCACTACACTCTTCCAGCCTAGCCAGGATCAACTGAAAGCACATAACGCATTAGGATGCCAATGTGTAATTAAAAATCAAAGATGCAAGTTTTTTTTGCAATGTCCAACAATTAAATTGTTAAAGATAGTGTTAATATATCTTCAATACTTGGAATACTAAGAGCGCAAAAGAAGGAAATAGCGGCCCAGTAAAGTGGTTGAGATACCTTTGGATTAGCCAGAGCTCTCATCAAGGAGACAAAAGGTACATTAGGGTAGTCAGTCTCTGAGAATTTAGGAAATAAAAGAAATGTTAGAATGTGTTATTAAAGAATCAAAAACATTGCTTGAGCATACAAGGCAAAACCTGTTATGTCAGATGGCCAAGGAAAGCTTGACGAAGGCATCCATCCCAATTTGGATTTACGACGCTCATCGTACTGCCTATCAGGGAAATGCAAACAATTGAGGTAAATTCAGAGGGCATGGTATTATAATAGATTGTTACAAAACACCTTGCTTCCAAGAGTAGATATGGAACTGATAATTGTGGTGGGCATGAGCATCCATGTTATGAAGTCATGGGCTATGTATGACATGCTTGTCAAATAAAAATGATGACCATCGTTATCATGCAATTGAGTTTCACGCAGTTGTTTATTTTTTTCTTTTTTCTTTTCTGATAGGGGGTTTCACATCTACAGTATTTTTCTTTAAGAAAATTCCACTCAAGATTGTACCATATATGTATTAAAACTGGAAGAAGAAATACCTCATGCGCTGTAAAACGATGTCATCTTCATCAGATAAGTAGCAAACCTTAGTAAAGGGCATTAGGACAGCACGCCACAATGCTGCATGAAGTTCACATCTAATGTTAATAAGTTTCACCCACCGATTGCTCTTGAGAAAGTTAAAGCCAAGTTTCTCGTCGCAACGATCAACGGCTACCCACAAGACAGTTCCAAGAGGTGGCAAGGTACAGAGAATATCTCTTTGCAAAGTGAAGGCCACCGGCTGCAATGGAAGTGGGTTTTCCATTTCTTCTTCTAGCCTGTAATAACAAAACAATTGGCCACAACATAACAGGATTGGGTACCAAATCATTTATAACATATGAGAAAGATATTTGCAAAGAAGCAGACAAGCAGGTATGCAGTTTACCTCTCTGAAGTAAATATTAGTTCAACAGAGGTTTGATTATATCTTTATATGTATTGGAAGAAGGCAGATATTGTAGGGACCATTTGAGGCTTTATCCTTTCTTGGACCTTCTAATTTGAGTGATTCAAATCTTAGTTATCTAGGAAATTTGGTGATACTCATTAAGACCAGGAAGCAAACAAGTTTGGCCGTTAATGTTTGAAATATTATCAAAGAGATTCGGCCTATTGAATTATGCTCTTAAGGCCAATTCTTTTGATAAAGCTACAACATCTCCACAGTCATACTACATCCCCCTACCCCCACAAAAAGAAAATCCAAAAAGTTCAAATATTGGTCCATCCTATCTAGAGTACTGCTATAACACCAAGAGAACAAGCTTTGATACATTTGTTTTTGACTCTAGCCATCTGCAGTCCTCCCCTCCTCTCAAAGCATATCTTGTTCTTAACCCCAATTCTGAGCTTGTTGTTCAACGAATTTACCATTATTTTGAGAGAGAACATCATTGAACTATGATATAAATCTAGTACTCCCTCCGTTTCACAAAGAATGGTCTAGTTTGACTTGGCACGGAGTTTAAGAAAATAAAGAAGACTTTTGAATCTTGTGGTCCTAAATTAAAGTTATGTCAAATGTACAAAATTGTCCTTTAATGTAGTGGCCTTAAATATGTCACGTGGAAAACTGAAATTAAAATGTTACCAAAAGGGGTCCTTTTTGAAATTGACTAAAAAGGAAAGGAGGTCATTCTTTTTGAAACAGGGGAGTATTTAATTACCAAAAAAATATGTAGTATTGCATTAAATATATATAGTTTCCACTAGCACATACTTAATTTTAGTTCATTGGTGACAGCAGATAAAAGAAATATCACTCTAACAGAAGTGCCCAGTATCACACATCGCAAGCACAAAGTGGCCGTTTAACTAAGTCAGAAATCCAGGGAAGATCATCAATTACTCCTTCCTGCACAAGTATCTCATTTCAAAGGGGGGGGGGGGTGTCAAAATTTGTCTATTAAATCACTATTGTACCCCTAGTTCGAAGCCTGATAAGAAAGTAGGGAACACTCACTTTGTTTTGATAGTGACCGGTGGAGTATCCATGCCATCCCATACGAGAAGCATCCACTTGTTTTTTTCAACTTCACATACGTGAACAATCTGGCATATGCCAGTGTATGGAAGTGTTAGTGATTTTGAATGTTCTGTTAGTACCTAAGAAAATGTAGCGCATACTGTGCTTGCCAATATATTCAAGATACATTTAAGAACAGTTATTTCAAGAAACAACTATCTTGCAGATCACTTATTAAAAGAAAGTACCTTGCAGATCAAGTTGAAACGTTCTCCTTCTCTGATCTCTTTCAATGAATGTAAATCAGTCAAATCTATCAAGAAAATGAAGCATCTACTGAGTACCAAGAAAATTGTAATCGTATTCTGAGGGAGGTTGCCGAAAATTCAAACAACAAAATAAATTAAGTTACCAAAGAAAAAGGAAAAGCACTACCAGAATACAAATGGCATCTGGGAAGGGATTTTGTTGGTGGATCAATTGAAAGAAAAACTGATGTTCAAAGAAGGATAGAGTAACAATAACTAAGATTATGTGAGAAGCTAAAACAACTAGATATAGCTACAGGTACATGTGCATACACATATCTCAAACACCTTTCACAGGAAGAAAAGTTAGCTGGCCCATCCTATGCTATATGGATCCATTCTTTGTCTTGACACGTCCGAGTCAAACAAGTGTGACAAGGGTTCTTCATGAAAATTCTTTCAAACTACACCAAATATGCACTATATTATATTTACCCGTACATCCATAATGGAAATGTACACCTAAATAGAATCACCAATATAGGATACATTCTTTATGCAACCTTCAGAAGCTAAATAATTAATTGTTATGTACTTTTAGCACAGAATTCTATTATAAGCATCACTCAGCAGTTGGCACTAGTGATGTGACTTGCGAGTACCTGTATCGATCTTGTGATCAACCAACCACTTCATCAAACCCAGTATAAATTTCTTGTCTTGCTCTCTAGCATGGTACTTAGAAGAACATTGATAAGGGAGGATATTTGAATCATTCTTTCCGTCAAATATTGCAAATGAAGAGAACTTCTTGTTGAACAAAGCATAAATATCGGGTCCATGAGTTTTCATCTGCAAACCGAAGAATACCACTTGTAAGGATTGACACAATATTTTTTACTTCCAGAAATTAATACTTAAGAACAAAAAAAGGTCACTCAATCAGGACAAGATCATGCATTCAGTTTGTTGGCCAATCCAATTAATGCTTATCTATTTCCTTGAGAAATTGAATTTTATTTGTTTCCACTTGGCCTTTGCCCATGATCATAATAGTAGATTCATAAGCGGTTCAAATATAACAGAGTCTAGAGGAAGAACGGCTGCAGAACAAGAAGTAGTCAATCTATTCTAATAATTTTTTAGAAGCAACAAGCACTTTTCCCCTTAAGAGGGAAAAGAACACATTTCCCCTTATCAAAAAACAGAGGATAAGAACACTCTTCCAAGTGGCTGATTAACTGCAAAGGCGGCCCATCCTAATCATAATGTTGGTAAATCAGATCCCATTTAAAAGAAACAACAAAATCTCTGGTGAGCTGCTTCTGTCTACAGGAGGATAGTTGAACTGTGAAGGATGCTAAAATATATCAACCGCTGGGGAAATGAAGTCTTCTATTTAGTAAAAATATCATGAACTGGTCCATTGGAAGTACTCACGCTATTGGAAGTCCTTCAAAAAAAAATTTTGGGAAAGGAGCGCACCCTTTAAAAAGCCAAGAATTCTAGGTAATACCAATTGTAACTCCATATTTACACCTTGTTGAATATGGTGCATTGTTTTCTAAAGAAAATTCAGCCCATTTCAACATTTATTTTCAGGATTTAGTTATACTCTTATCTATAATTTCAACATTTCCATCACATGAAAAAATGTTCAAGAATCTTTTACACCCAAAAGGCAACAAGCAAATATTTGAGCAAAAATAGTTACCACAACTTGAGAGATCTGAAGTATATCACCAACAGTCAGCACTTCAGGAAGCTTATCCATAGTTTCGGCAAAAAAATTAACTGCAATCCCTGGGCTTGGGTAGGACTCATCAATGATCCTAATGGAGCAAAAGACATCTACAAAAATAAAAACAAAAGACGCCAAAATCAGGCCCAAAATGTTCATTCCACACAATGTTGGTGGAAAAAAACGGTTTGAGATATTAACTACTCCATATCCCAAAATGTGATGAGTACAACATATGGCATTCAACAACTCAATGCACTTGTATTTATCAAACGTGTTTTTAAAACACTTTCCTTGAGCTGATGATCTATAAGAAAGAACCTCTCTACCTCACACAAGGTAGGGGTAAGGTTTGCATATACACTACCCTCCCCAAACCCGACTTGTGGGATCACACTCGGTATGTTGTTATAATGCACTAACACAAGTGCTAGTGGTATAGATAAAAAGTTAAGCAACAAATATTTGTAGCTAATGATTTGCCTTGATGAAGTCATCATTCCTGCTCAATTAGCCACTCACATTGGTTTTGTTGATCTTCGTAAGAAAATGGATCTTCGGCTTAACTTAACTCGAAAGCTAGTTTTAGAGGTAAGAAATGTCCAAACAATATTAAGTAGATCACTCATCTCTTAAAGCACCGATGTGAGACTCTTTACACACCCTTCCCCTCACACCTATGGTTGGATATCTAGAGCGTGAGCAATTTAATATAGGGCAACAACACTGGAAAACAAGAATTGGGATGAGTCTTGCCCCGATACCATGTAAAGGAATGGATTTTGGGTCTAACTCAACTCCAACAGCTAGCTCAAGAGGTGAGGAATGTTCATATTAAAGAGACCACCCATCCCTTAAAGCTCCTACTTGGGACTCTTCACAATTGCTTTCTTTTTGGCTGCTATAGCCCTTACATTTCCTTGATTCTTGCTCAGTCTTTATTCACTTAAGCATTCAATTGATCAACCTGATCTAGGATTTGCGAGAGAGCTGTCTGCATTGGAGTCATCTGACCGATCCGAGTCTTTCCCATTTGTACTATTGTATTGTGCAACCATCTCATCTGAACACTTAAATTGTTACAAAGGGTAGACTTTGATTTACTTGTAGGATAACAACCCATTTTCTCAACTAATGTGGACATTCTAACAAGTTAATTATAATGACTATATCCTCTCCAATATACTAGGAACCTAGTGGAATTTGACATTGGTTCAAAGCGGGTCTATAATATAAAAGGAGGCTGGAGATTATAGGGAATAGTCAAAGAGAAGGTATAGACTATACCTTCTCCTTCTTTTTTTATGAAGAGGGTATAGTCTATTTATTTGATCTTTTTGAAAACATTGGTGAAGAGGGTATAGACTATACTAAAACTTGTTCTCCAATAGTTAGATAACAACCCTTATGTGATTTATATATAACAGCAAAGAAGTGGTGGAATATATACCAACCAGATGTGAACAACGCTTTCTCTATGATGCTGAAAGGAGAGATCTATACAAAGGTCCCTCAGGGTCTATAGTGTCTTCTCTTAGCCTCAGTGTCTGCATGTGAGGGAATCACTTAATGGTCTAAAATAGGCATTCAACCAATTGTATACCAAGCTTTGAGTAATCTTACATTCTAGAGGATTTCAGCACTCTCGGATGAACATTCTTTATTCTTTAATAAGGATAATGACCTTTGCATTTTCATGCCTATATGCAGATATTGTTCTGGTGACTGGGCCTCATGCTTCGGATCACTAAGCTGAAGCATTTTCTGGATCCCACTTTTAAAATCAATGAATAAGGGTCTTTGACTACTTCCTGTATTTGGAAGTCTTAGACACTGGCTAATGTATTCTGATCAGCCATAGAAAATTCACTCTTGGAATATTGGATAAATTTCATTGTTCAGATTTTCCTTCAGCCAATACCCTTTGGACCAGCAATTGAGTGTACTGCACCTGATGGAAGTTTAAGATCAGATCCTACAATCAACAAAAAATTAGCCGGGCAAACTGAACTTCCTGACTTATCTTAGCAGGTTAGCTGCTAAGTCATTCATGCACACTCCCATGTTTTCTCACCTTCAAAGAAGCATTTCCCACCCTTTGGTATCTGAAATCATTTGTCTGCCTAGGCTTGTTCATTTCAAATGATCTTTCTCTTTCTCTTAAAACCTTCTGTAATGACGATTGGGAAACTTACCCAGACTCAAAGGAGAATGTCACTGGTTGTTCTGAAATGCTTGACAAAATGGAAATCAAGGAAAAAAGCTACTACTCCTTAGCCTTAGTGAGTGCAGATCCTTCCAAAAGTAGTTGCAGAGTTGTCTTGGACTCTTTGTTGTTCAATTGTTTGTGGAATTTTCTATTACCTCTCTTACTTTGACTGCTGCCTATTGTGACAATCAAGTTGTATCCACGTTGCTAAAAACTCTATCTCTCACAAATGTGACTAGTATATTGAGCTGGATTGTCATTTTTCCCGAGAAAGTTATTTGATGGTCTTATTTCTCTTTCTATTGTCCAAACTAAAGACCAATTAGCAGATGTGTTCCTGTGAAGGCCTTTTCTGGTTCCAAACAAGTTGACATTGTTCCCGAGTTGGGGATTCTTTTTACATTATGTTCAACAGCTCAATGCACCTTGAACAAGTGTTGATGTCAAATGAGTGACTAGCTTCTAGATACAAATTAGTGAAACTTAATAAATGCCTCAACTTTCAAGTCGAATTTGTCGTTGAATTTATTTTTATTTTTACACTAAATGTGGAATCAGAAAGTGCATGTAAACAATTACACTCCTAAATACTCAATGGTCAAATATTGAAGATTATTCAACTATATAAAACAGGTAGAAATAAGGGAGAAGTTGCATAAAATGTAAGGAAAAAAGTATTTGAGAAGAAGAAATTACCCGTGCCCCTGGATTTCTTGGGAAGACCGGTTTCGACAACGACGCCGATGAGATTAACTTTCTGGCCAAGTGCAGCCCTGGCATCTACTATTTGAAGGAACTTGTAGTCATCCCGGCTACTATTGAGATTCATTTTCTGCAAGAATTTCTGTAATCTCTCTCCTTTAAGTTTGATTTTGTGAAAAAAGCACGGTCACCGGAGTTAAGTCGGAGGAATAGAGTGCTCGACGACGAAATTTAGGGCGCCAAAAGGAAAGTGGTTCTTTATTTTGATACGTGCGGTGAATGCGCTCTTGTTTAAATTTAATTTAATTTAATTTGTTTTTTGCCTTAAAACTTATCTTATTTGCTATTTAGTCTCGTTCTCTTAATTTAATTAATTTTAAAAGATAAAGTATATTATATTAATTTGAGATTTTAAATTAAAAATTTAAATGAAAAATGTTATAAGTTGTAATTTTTTGCATAATAATACGATAACAATATATTATAAAATATTAAATAAAAATTTTATTGTTTGAATCTTAAAAAGAAAATTGTGACAATTAAAAAGAAAAGGGAGCATATCTTTTTAATTTTTATTGTTTATAAATAAATACTTATATTTATATAGAGTTGAACAAGTTATGCATTTTATATGATAATTTATAGATATATGTATTTGTTTTTCATTTTTCATATAAATTTAACAGTAACTTTCACATTTAACAAACACAAAATTCATATTTATATGCTATAGCAAAATTTACATAATTGCGCTCCATAACAAACATAAATATGTATATTTCGTGATACATATACAAAAAGAAAAATTGTATGATTCATTATGCATATACAAAGTTGTATGATTCACTATACATATACAAAAGATAATAGTTATATACAAATCAATTATATAATTTGTGTATATATAAAACGATAAAGAGAGCAAGACAAAAGAAAACTGAGGGCATGAGAATAATTGTAGTGTATAAGACGAAAATATATGTATTCGCATGTGTATATACAATTTTCTCTCGCTTCATAAAATAGAAACATAATTTATACATTTTCTTTTTATTTATATAAGCGATAGAAGTGAGGGTGGCGAGCAGCATTTGGGAGAGTGGCGAGCGAGATCTAGGAGATAGGAACGATATACACACACAATGGAAAAGGCCTAAAATACCCTTAAAATACCAAAAATGGTACAAAATTACCCTCCATCCATCTATTGGCTCCAAAATACCCTTCTCGTCTACCTTTGGATTCAAAATTAACCACTTATGTAACGATTTTAAATTTAAACTATTTAAATATTTTTTTTGATACAACACGCTCAACTATTTGCTATAATTTAACTTATCAATATAATTTATTAACCAATCTACCATTTCTAATTAAACCACACCCAATTAATAAACCCCCTCTACTAATGCGCAACAAGGAAACTACTATAAATGAGTGTTTCTAAAAATTTAAGGCGAAAATGTCTATAGAAGTACATTATCATACATTCAAGTCCTCAATAAAAATTATAATTTAAGTGTTTAAATAAAAATTACCGATAAACTTAAAAGTCTGACTATGTTCATCTTAATTATTCATTCGTCTCAATTATGTGATGTTACCTGAATGATAACTTACAAAAAAAAAAGAATATATTAAAGTTTTAATATTTAAAATAAATAATAAATATTTATAAAATTATATTTAAAAGTGCATGAATTAATCTGAGAGGTGCTACTTCTTTATCTTTAATCATAAATTTCGAATTCAAGTTTGAAAAAGAATTATATTGAAAGTTTTCTCATAAATAAGCGGCTCAACCTAAATTTAATTGGAACTTCAATTCGGACTCAATAATTTTAAATATCATTTTCATTAATCGGTAATTTTGTCGTGCTTTAGTAGTGATTGTGGTGATTTTGATATTAGAAATGGTTTATTAATTGTGTGGGGCTTAATTAGTAATGGGTGGGTAATGTGTTGATTTATAAATAATATTAATAAATTAAATTATATTCAATAGTTAAGCGCCAAGTATTTTAAGAATATTTAAATAGTTTAAATTTAAAACCGTTAAATAAGTGATCAATTTTGAACCCAAAGGTGGATGACAAAGGTATTTTGAATCCAATAGGTGGGCGAAAAGGGTATTTTGGAGCCAATAGGTGGATGAAGGATAGTTTTGTATCATTTTCAATACTTTAAGGGTTTTTTGGCCCTTTTTCGTATTTACAATTTTTTCTCGCTTTACACACTCACAAACGCATTTTATACACTTGTGTGTTTATATAAAAGCAAAAAGGAGCGAGCTAGAGCTTGAGGGAGAGAGGCGACTGAAAAATAGTTTGCTATAGTGCAAAATTAAATTAAAATATGTTGATAGCATTTAATTCACTTTATTAATTTGCTATTATATTTAATTTTTCTTAAATTTAAATATTGGCGTATAGTTTAAATTAGAGAATATTATATATACGAGATTAAATTAAAATATATATTTATATATTATACCTTTTTAAGTATTATTAGTTATTACTCTAATTTTTTGTTTTTAGAAAGGACAAAAACTTGAATGCCATGTGTAACATCGCTTTTGTCATTCCAAAATTGAAGTGCAATATAAATTCACGAATGATGTATAATATTTTAAAGGACTTCTAATTGTTTACTATATCACATTACTTTATTTTTATACTTGCATTTATATTTTTTTATATATATGAATAATAAAAGGATTAGTGAGTAGGAGATAATCAAACATACATGTTTCTTGTCATTCAAATTTAAATTTATTGGATATAATCTGACAGTAATATGACTATTATGTTACCTTAAAGCTTATAATCACACTTGTTTTTTCATGTTTTATCTTTTTTTTTTTAAAAAAAAAATTCTATTTTTGTTCTTCCTTTTACTACAAAAATACAAATAAAATATTTTTTTCCACTATTTTTATTTAGTTATGATTAAGTTTGAAGAGTTAAAAATTGGATTTAATTATTTGACATGGCTGTCTTAATATATTTGCACTCTCTCAAATGATGATTAAAATTATTTGAAACTGATAAGAGAAAGTTGCTCGGATGGTAAACACTCCTTACTTTTAATTCGAAAGTTATAAATCCGAATTATTAATAAAATAAAAAGGATGAAAACTCTTATGAAATAGTATAAAACAATATTACTTGAAGGTTGCTTCTGTGAATATCAAAATCTTTAGTCTTTTTTTTTCATGTTATTAATTAACATAATAACACGCATTTAAAACAAAGACGAGTTTCGAACTTATTTTCTATTGTTACAATTTTTTAAATGTTCTGTGCAAAACTTAGAAAGTAAGTAAAAAATTATATTGTGAATTTCTAGATAGTCAAAACTTAATTGAGGTCCAATCAATGTTCAAGAGATAAAAACTTGAAACTATTTGGCCTTTTGATGCAATTTTGACAATACTACTAAACAAATGAGGAAAGCTTAATAAGGAAGGAAATGAAAAAAAAGAAGGAAATTTAGTCATATTTTAATATAGCTATCAAATACAATGTAGACAATTAATAAAATAATATTTTTTAAAAAATCAGTGTTTAAATGTAGAAATTTCAACTCATGCTGGAAATGCATTTTAGTTTTGAAAAGCAATTTAGAATTAATTATCACTTTTTTACTTTTTAAATCATATCCAAATACATAATAACATAAAATATTTAAACAAACACAACTCAATTTTATATCAAATAAAAAAAAAATTAAATTCAATGGCCAAACATGAAACACATACTCGCAAATCAAATGTACATTATAAGATTATGTTAAACCAATTTACCAAAAAAATAAAGTCAAAGATGTCATTTCATTTCAATAAAAACCATGGTCAAACGAAATAGTCAACGAGTGTCAAGTTTTTTTCTATCCCATTTCCCCCTCGAAGTCTTTGCACCTTTCATTTTGATCCAAACAGTTATGACTTCGTCAAAAAAAAGCCCTCATATTTTCCCTCCGTTTCAATTTCAGTCTCCTCTCCCAACTTGTCTCTTCTCTGTCTCCCTTTCTATCTCTCTACATATAAATAAATCATGAATTGTCAGATCTCTTTCTCCTCATTTCCATTTTCTGCACTGAATCGCAGCTTAAAAACCCCTTTTCTCGCGGTTAACACTTTCCGGTTTGGGTAGTTCAGACTTGACTGCTTTGAATTCGGGAGGCAATGGAAGGTGGAGAAGAGATTGAGATTGCGGAGGAAAATGAGTTCCCTTCAGTTATTGGACGAAAATACAGTCCAGTGGTGGCGCATGACAATGATAGTGCAGTTATTGAGATGTCTTCTGTTCGTCCCGGATCTTCCTCTTCTCTCCCCAACCACGATCTCAAGTATTTTCTCTTTCTCTATGTTTTCTCGTTTTGACTAGTATTGACTAGTAGTGTACTAATAGCTCTGGGATTTGATGGCACTGAATTATGAAATTTTTTACTTTGTTTTTTTTAAGCATTTAAGAATTTGAGAACAATTAATAGAGACCGTAAGTATTGATGTTAAATTTATGTCTGAGCTTACTTCTAAGTGTGGATTTGGGTCAACATTTCTTCCATTTATCATGTCTATTGTTTTCCACTTTGGTTGTTAGTTAGGTATGAAAGAAATTGTTTTTCATGAAAATATTTTCTAAGAAAATGAGTTTTTTTTTTTGGTATTATATACAGCAAAAAGTATTATCTTGAAAGTGTTTTAATCTAGACAAATACTATATGGAGTTGGGGGTGGAGAGTGATGGATGGGGATGGGAGCTATGGGGAAGGGGTGAAGATGAGGTGAGTTGGAAGCTGAGAAGGAAACAATCTTGTGAAACTTGTTTTTCCTACTTTTATTGGGGAAGTCATTTTCCTTCTTTGTTTTTTCTTTTATAAAGAAAATGTTTTCAAAAATACTAACGAACCAAACATAGGAAAATTGGAAAATATTTTCGTCTGTACCGAGCACATCCTCAATGTACATAGTTTGTCTTTGCCATGGTTTGGACATTGTTTTGTAGGTAAATGGGTCAGTGGAAATACTACTGAAATCTATGGTTAGGCTTTCATATTAGTATAATTACTTGAATGTTGTGGAACTATTTTCTCATCCATCCTCTCACTTATGTTTTGAAACTTCAAGGGCATAAAAGATTAACAATTTGACTCAAAGTCAATTCTCCTAATAAACTTTGATGAATTTGAAATATTAAGTATCTCTATTTAAATGTTGAGTATGTTAAATATTTCATTAGTATTACTTATAAAAAAGTTGCATTAATATGTACAAAGATTTTTTTTA